GAACATGAGCAGGGGGAGGGGCAGAGGGAGAGAGAGAATCTCAAGCCGACTCTTCACTGAGCGTAGAACTGTATGCAGGGCTCAATCCCATGACTCATGAGATCATGACCCATGAGATCATGACCTGAGCCAAAATCATGAGTCAGACGCTTAACCGACTGAGCCACCCAGGCACCCCTGTATAAATTGTTTAGAACAGGGCCTGGTACATAGAGAGCTCTTGGTCAATAGTAGCTATTATTATTTAGTAGCTTTCACTCTAGAGATAGAGGAAAATAGATAATACACACAGTTAAAGAATTCTGCTAATTGCTTCTTCTGTCTAGTGCTCACAGATGGGTCTCAAAGGGAGCTGTCCATCTCTTCCTCTGACAGGTCCAGAATTAAGGGAGTTTTAATTTTTGGTTCTTAACATCTCTCTAGGACTTTTCTCTGGTTGTGTGGTCCAGAGGGAGTCACTACAATAATTCTCTAAACATTGCTCCAATTGAGGACCAAGATAGATGGAAGGCTTGACCTTCCATCATGAAAATTAAAGGGACTGTGGATTCTTCCTCTTTTGTTGCTGGCAGCTAGAGCTGAGCTTGTGATCCACGCATGGACAGATAGGTGCTTCTGCCTTGGAATCTTGGGTCCTGATAGATTCAGGCATAGGTGAAGGGTCAAATAGAGGCTCTTCTTGGCAGCTGTGGAAGACTTAAGGGACCACAGTATGACATGAGTTTCCAGTGGTGCCAAGAGTCCAGGGGTGATGACGTCTATGGTGGTATCCTAGGCAAATGGTTGCTTTTTGTTTGTTTTGTTCTGTTCTGTTTTGTGACATGTCTATTTTATTTTACATTGAGAAAATGTACATAATAACAAAGTCTAATAGGAATTCAGTAATAGTTTTTTTAGTGACTGCTTTATTGAGTTATAAACTCATAACATACAATTCATCTATTTGAAGTATATAATTCATTGGTTTTTAGTATATTCATGGAATTGTGCAACCATTACCAAAATCAGTTTTAGAACATTTTTATCACACTTCACACCAAATCCCTGTACCCATTAGCAGTCATTTTCCACTCCCCTTCCTGCCCTCCCTGTCCCTTGCAACATGAATCTACTTTCTGTCCCTATAGATAACAAATTGTTCTTAAACCAGGATTTAAACTATACCTTCCTTCCCTTGAGGTAAAGTTCCTACTGAAGTCTTGCATTTTTTAACCATTGTGGCAGAACAAATTAACCCCAAATTTAGCAGCTTAAGGCAACATACATTTATTTTCTCACAGTTTTTGTAAAGCAGGAATCCAGGTACTGCTGGAGCTGGGTCCTCTGTTCCAGGATCTCTCACAAGGCAGCAGTGTGTTGACCTGGGCTCCTGTCTTATCTGAAAGCTTAACTGAGGAAGGATCTGCTTCCAAGCTCACTTACACTGTTGTTGGCAAGACTCAGTTCCTTGAGGATTATTGGACTGAAGTCTCATTTCCTCACTGGTTGTTGGCTAGAGGCCACCCTCACTTCCTTGCTACATGGGCCATTCCAATACAACAGCTTACTTCATCAAAGCCAACACAAGAGAGAACCTGCTAACAAAACAGAAATCACAATCTTTTGTAACCTAATCATAAAACTGACATTCCCTCAACATTGCTATATTCTTTGGTTAGAAGCAAGTTACTAAAGGGGAAGAAATTACACAAGGCCATGAATACCAGGAGGCAGGAGGCACTGGGGCCATCTTGGAGGCTCTGCACCAAAACTGTCCTGCAACCCTTCCATGAGATCTGTAGGCTGTTTAGTACTTTTCTAATACATTTCTTTTTTGGGTTGAGCTAACCAGAATTGGTGACTCTTGTTTGCATCCAGACTAATATATGTGTTTGTTGCTTACTATTCTGTGATTTTGTGATTCTGCTTTCTATTGATCTAGCTCCTTAATCTGCAAGGTATAAGCTATTTGATAAAATTATTAACACTGCTTGTTACTCCTTTTCCCCCCAAAGGACTACTTTCCTCTACTTATCAATTCTGTATCTGAATAATTCACTGTCTCAGAGCCAACTAGCAAACATCCATCTGAAAACTAGTTTGGATATTAATCTCCACAAAGATCATAGAAGAGAGGTTAAGAACCTCTCAAATTAGCCCTATCAAAATAGGAAAACTGAGTCCTATTAATAGAACAGCCTCATATTCAGGCCAGGGTTTTTGTAGTTTGTCCTCATTTGGGCTACAGCCAGAAGGTTGCTTTCTTCCTTAGAGGTTCTGCAGAATTTTAGTACCAGAAATCCAGAGCAAACTAGCTTTGGCAAGAAAAGGGGATTTGTTGGCTCACATAACTAGGAGAAATACCGGGAGGCTCACAGGATCAAAAAAACTGTAGAACTCTGGGGGCTGCAACCAGTGGGCCAGGGCAGGCAGCTCTCCTCCTAGCTCTTGTTGGCATCTCCACCATCTTCATGTCTCATTTTCTTGGCCTCATTCTCTACTATTGCAATCATGCTTTGGTATGTAACCTTTAGTCTTTGAACCAGAAGGGAGAGAAGGGTTGGGTCAAGTGTTTACTCCCAAGCCCAGGAAGATGGGGTACTACGCTAGGCCAGGCTTGGGTTACATGGCCACATTCCTGTTGCCAGAAGAAGGACCATGCAAAACCAATAGCCACTACTGCCCAGGGCAGACCAACCATGTAAGTGATCCCTGAAATCCTGGAGATCCCAAACAGGACAAGACAATGCCATCATCTGTGATAAGGCCCTGTCTGGGAACCGTACATTGAACATATTCTTTTTTGGCCAATGTTTTTCATGGATTCTTGGAATTCATTTTATTGCAGCCAAGATTCAGTGTCTTAATCCACTGGAGAAATAGGGTCACACTGAATTTTTCCATTACAGATTTCACTTGTTCCCTAACTACTTGACAGTTGGAAAAAATTATAGGTAGAGACATGGAGGCCAGGGATGACATGGAAAATAGCTGTCCAGGGGCGCCTGGGTGGCTCAGTTGGTTAAGCGACTGTCTTCGGCTCAGGTCATGATCCTGGAGTCCGGGGATTGAGTCCCACATTGGGCTCCCTGCTCAGTAAGGAGTCTGCTTCTCCCTCTGACCCTCCTCTCTCTCATGCTCTCTGTCTCTCATTCTCTCTCTCTCAAATAAATAAAATCTTAAAAAAAAAATTAAAAAAAAAAAAGAAAATAGCTGTCCATTTCATAGACTCATGACCAAGGTTAAATTATAATAACAAGAGACCAGAGTTTTTTATATACTGTTACTTTCTGTGATTTATGGGCAGATTGTTTTTTGTTTTTAACCTTTCAAGTAAGGAATGATTTGTCAAGTTCATGAAAACCACATGTATTCAGAGACTCATTAATCTTAGAGCCAAGGGCAAGTCTCACTTTTAGACCCATATAAATATGGATTGAGATCAAGATCAGTTGGACTTGACTTTTGGGAGATGTAATATGGTTCTACCTTCAGTGTATATTGACACTGAAGTTACCCTGGTAATTCTTCCAAAGAAGTGCTATAGTGGGCTCCCGAAAAACTCCTCTTGTCCTGGTACCATTCACAATTGTTCAGCGATGTACTCACATCTGATCACTTGTTCTTTGCCAGCTCTTTATAGAGGGCCCTGTATGTGCTAAGTGCTAGAAGCAATTGTGCAGGATAATCTGCCTGATCCTACCTACTTATAGCTTGGTTTAGAGTTCTCCACCCAAGTAAGGAAGAAGCTCACTTTTAAGTTTAGATTAGGATCTAATATTAAGGATGATGGTGGGATGTAGAGAAGTAAAGATAAAACTTATCTGGTGTCTCTTAGAGGCATAGTGGAGTGTAGAGGTTAGGAGCTCGGTTCTTGGTTCAAACAGACTAGGGTTTGACTCTTAGCAAAGACACCTCCTAGCTTTGTGACACTGGGAAATTAGTTAACTTCTTTCAGCCTTGGTTTTCTCATCTATAAAATGGGGCTGATAATAATATAAACCCTATAGGATTGTTTGATGTGTTTTTAATAAGATAATCTAAGGACGACATTTAGCCTTGTGTGGGCATATTGCTGTAAAAGCACTAGAGTAGTTGTAATCATCTCAGGAATCGTGATTTTGGGGGTATCCTGTGTGTCCCTTTTATACCATACTTTTATAACCTCTCCCAAGTCTTCATACAAAAAGCAATCCACCGCCACCACGTGGGGGCAGTATGGGGTCTCTTGGCAGAGACTTTGGAATTAGGTCAACTCGGGTTTATATGCAGGATTTAACTCTCAGAGATCCAGTTTCTCAACTGTAAAGTGAGACAATACTATGTGTTGCGAGGCTTAAAAATAACATATTTAAGTGGGTGGCAGATCATACGCTCCACTTAAGCTGGCTTTAAAAAAATTCCCCACCTGGCCATCTTCGCCATCCCAGGTCCTAGTGATGGTGTAAGTGGGGATCTTTAGCAAGCAAATCTCAGTTGTCCCTGCCATCAGTTTTCTTTTCATTCTTACTGGTCCTGAGCCAGACTTCACTGCTTTTAGGTCTGGCCTGATTTCATTCAAACCAGTGCCTACACAGCCATAATAATGGCAGTGCCATTTAGAAATATGGTCTTCGTATAACACTCTTGCTGGCACGGGTGCCAGTTACGAGGCAACATAGAAATCAATCTCAGCTCTACAGAGAGTGGGCACGTAAGACTGAGTTACAGATACACACTAATGTGATTATGACTTTGCATCAAGACTGTCAAGGAACATTAGCAAATAAAAGATGTGTTGGATAGAGAAAAAATTATGTTCAAAGGTCCACGTTCCTTGAGGAAAGTTCTCTCCACGTCTGCCTGGTACTGGAAAATTACAAATCAATAAAAGGGCTGCATTTCCCCAAGTTATCAATTCTTCCTTCACGCTGCAGATTCTTCTCCTAACACCATTTCCCGTGGATCCCTATGCAGAAGACAAAAAAGCCTGTAGAAGCTTGGTGACATTTGCTGACATTCTCCCTGCTTGTGTCTTGCAGCCTACTTCTGCTTCCTCCTGACTGCTCTGGGTGTGACAGCTGGTGCTCATCGCTTGTGGAGCCACAGGTCCTACAAAGCCAAGCTGCCTCTGAGGATATTTCTGGCTGCTGCCAACTCCATGGCTTTCCAGGTGGGGATGGAGGGTCCCCTCTGCCTTGTGACCCAGCACAGATGGCACTGTAGGAGAAGGCACGGGCCTGCTCCCCATGGAGGTCATTCCTTCCCACCATTCCAGCCTCAGGGCTCAGGTCCCCAAGCATTCCCTCTCTGTCCCAAATTTTTGTCTCATTGTAGCTTTAGATATGGTAAAATGTCCCCGAGGGGCTTTGTACCTTTGTACCCCTAAGAATACTAAACCACAGAGGAGGAAAGAGATACCTCCACCCAAAGCCCATGCCCTGAAACCCTGAACAATTGTCCAGCTCTAACCAGGGTGAAGTTCTGTGCTGAGCATGCTATCTGCATATTGCATTTGACCCTCACAGTAACCGCATGAGCTAGGTGTTGTATGTGTCCTCATTTTCCAGATGAGGAACTAAGGTTTAATGAAGTTAAAGAACTTGACAAATTATATGGCTAAAAGTGTACATCCAAGATAAGGAAATGCAGGTCTGACTCTAAAGCCATTGCTCCTAGAAAACATAACCCGGGGGTCACCCTATAAGTTTGTGGTAGAGGCCTATTGAAGATGGTGCTGGAAGACAGGATTTGAGTCTTACTCTGATGGTTGCTGGCTGTGAATCACTTACTCATCTCCAGTTTCTTCATCTGTAAAAAGCAGAATATGACTTCACTCCCATAGTTGTTATGAAGTCATTGAAAGTTGCAGGGAACTATAAAAATGTAACAGAGGGTCATCACTGCACTAGGATTGGGCCGTATCCTTTAGGACTATTCTAGTAGTAGAACATGCCCCACCAGCTTGGGCACTTTCTGAGCTGCTGGATTTTGAGTTGATTATGGATTTCTGTTTCCCCTGTTCCTCATCTGATCCAGGTAGGGTGGGTGGGAACAACGTGCTTTCAAAGTTTCTGCTGATATATGAATGCAGATGATTCCAGGCCCCATGCATTTTCACCCATTGGGGAGAGATGGTGATTCTCAAAACTGCTTTAGGGTCCAGGGAGATAGGCAGCCCAGGAGCCTATCTGTGACTCTCAAATGTGCAAGTCACTTGGCCACCTCTGCAGTGGGCCTCCCATCCCTATAAGACAGTCTGACCCTGAGCATTTCTCCAAGTTGCTCTCATGTCTAAGGACTCATTTCCCCATTTCCCTCCCACAGTTCAAGCCTTCATAAAGCACGTAGGGTATAACACAATAGATTGCTCAGGGAACACAACTCATATTATGGAGTCTACTGGTTATAATTCAAGCACAGTTGGGAATTAGTACCAGGGGCCTAGGGAAAAAGCTATTGTGCACAAAAGAGTAGTTGGCAGCTTCTCGGTTTTATGTTTTTTTCTTCACCATTGGCAATACTAACTAAACCACACTTTACTTTGACTTCAGTCATCTTAATTCAGTGTTGTGCTTTGTTTGTCATAACAATGAGTTATGATAATGATAATTTAGAAACCCATTGACCTCGGTCTTAGATGCTATTTAGGACTTAAGTTGGTAATTTTCATTTGTTTTGTTTGAGCAATTTATTATTTCTAGCCTTCAATTACCCTCTCACGATGCGGTTATAAAGCACCTCTATTATTAAATTTTTTTTCCAACATAAATAACTTGAAACTGAGAACATAAAATTCTTATTTCTGTTTTCCCAAGGAAGCTATTTATTTACAACTCAATTTTCGATAACCTAAGTTTCCTTAGCATAACATCACAGAACAGAACATCACACTGTGATTGTAACTTTACTTTGGGGAGAAAGTACATTGCAGAGGGAAGTACCCAGGTCCTGGAATAAATTCTTGGCTCTGCCATTGGCTAGATGTGGGTCTTTGTGCAAGTCTCTCTTCCCTTCTATGCAAAGGTAGGGGGAAATAAATGATATTTACCTCACGGGGTTGTTGGAAGGATGAAATAATGACTAAAAAGTGCCCAGCTTATAGTTGTACTCAGTGAATATTGTCCCCCCTCTTTATGAGAATTGGCATACTGTCTCATTCATTTCTGTGTTTTGGTGCCTATCATGTCAAAGGCACTCAATGGTAGCTTGTTAAAGAAATGAGAAATTGAATGAATAGTTTTAAAAAGTATTTTTAGAAATCATCACATTTGAACGATGCATACTTCTTTCAGGCCCACATTTGTGGTGGATTTTTTCTTCATTCATTTAACAAATGTTTATTGAGCACCTACTACATGCCAGGCACTGAGCTAGGCACGGTGGGTATACTGATTAGCAGACACAGTCACAATCCTTGCCTTCATCCAGCCTTCTATCTAGTGGAATATTAGAATTCCTACAATTTCCCAGTGGAAATGTCAGTACTTCATGGGTCTGGGGTTTATAACAATGTCACGTAGACCTAGGTGGGAGGTATCTGTAAGATCAGCATCTAGCCAGTTTCCACATGGTGCATAACTGTGTCAGTGGGAAAGAATACAGTCAATCTAGACCACTTGACCCTGGGGAGAGAACAACCTGGGAAAGTAAAAATGTGCTGTGACATGTCCATCCAGGGTACAGACCTGCAACCCTGATTTAATGCAGAGTCATTGGTTTAGTTTCCCTTGGATGTCCTTGTGGGTTTTTAAAGATCATTTCAAGGATTCTCCTGTGCTTTTCTTGATCAGAATGGTCATGCCTTTGGCCAAAATAGACAAGTCATGCCATGGTTGTCTGTATTTGAAGATGAGCAAGATTTTTGCTAGAAGCTGCAAATGAGAGCTTCAAGAACAATCTTCTTAACATTGGGGCTTAAACATTTGAAATTCCCTCTTCTCTTTCTTCTGCAGAGGGAAGGGGCAGGGGCAATAGTGGGAAAGATGGGGGCTTTTCAGCCTGAAAAGATTATGATGGGCCAGGAATGCTAGACAAGGAGCTATGATAATCCTCTGTCCTTTACATTCAGCAGAGACCCCCTGAGTTCCTCCCTGGCCCATTCTCCTTCCTGATCAGCACAATGCAAGTCAACCTAAATGTGGCTTACAAACTCCTTATAATTTTCTTCTAGTCAAATACGGACCCAGGTGAGATATTCTTGCCATCCAGTGGTCTCCAAGAGTTCATTTTTCACAAGCAGTAGCCGGACTTTGGATTTGTGCTCTCACACTCATGCACACATTCCTTCTGGCTGCCGCTGGGTCTCATGAACTCAGTCCAAAAGCACCTGTTAGATGCTGCAGCCTCCTCTCTGCCTGCCCACATTTCTCATCAGATCCTGGTACAGAGGCTTTGGATTTTGACCTGGAAGGGAGTTTAAGGGATTTAGTCTAAATCCTCTCATTTTGCAATGAGGGGTAAAGAGAGGCCCAGAGAATGTCTGACTTGTGAAAGGTCACACAGCTACTCAGTGGATAGACCAGACTGAAACCTGTCTCCTGACCCTCAGGCTGGGGATCCTTTAGGCTCACCCATGGATGTTCTTGTGTGATGTCCAACAGTGTGATCTGTGAACGACTTATAGTTGGCTCTTGTTTTTTTAATCCACTGTGACATCCTGTCCTTTAATTGGTGTATTTAAACTATTCACACTTAAAGTGATTACTGATATAGTTGGATTAACATCTACCATGTTTGTGTTTGTTATTCATTGCCCTTGTTCTTTGTATCTTTTTTCATCTTCCCTGGTTTTAACTGCACATTTTACACGATGCTATTTTCTCTTCCCTTTTAGCATATCAACTATACTTCTTCTTACGGTTGTGTAGTGGTTGCCCTAGAGTTTGCAATATACATTTAGAACTAATCCAAATCCACTTTCAAATAACATTATAGCACTTCCCATTAGTGCAGCAACCTTATAACGGAGCATTCCCATTTCCTCCTTTCTGTCCCCTATTTCATTGCTGTCATTAAGCTATAATCACTGAATACATTGTTGCTCTTATTATTCTGAACAAACTGCTGTCTGTTAGATCGATTAAGAATAAGAAAAATTGAAGGGGGCGCGTGGATGGTTCGGTCAGTTGAGCATCCGATTCTTGGTTTCAGCTCAGGTGGTGAGATCAAGCCCTGCCTTGGGTTCTGTGCTCGGTGCAGAGTCTGCTTGAGATTCTCCACCTCCGCCCCTCACCCCCACCCCCTGCCTGCACGTGTGTGCACTCTCTCTCTAAAATAAATAAAATCTTTAAAAAAAAAAAGAATAAGAAAAACTGAAGATTTTATTTTACTTTCATTTATTCATACTCTAACGCTCTTCTTTTTTTTTAAAGATTTTATTTATTTATTTGACACAGAGAGAGAGAGACTGCAGAGAGGGAACACAAGCAGGGGCAGTGGGAGAAGGAGAAGCAGGCTTCCCACTGAGCAGGGAGCCCGATATGGGGCTCCATCCCAGGACACTGGGATCATGACCTGAGCAGAAGGCAGACGCTTAACGACTGATCCACCCAGGCGCCCCTAATGCTCTTCTTTCTTTATGTAGATCTAGGTCTCTAACCATTCCCATTTTCCTTCTTTTTAAGGAACTTCTATCATTTCTTGCAAGGTAGGTCTACTGGTGACAAATTCCCACAATTTTTGTTTGTCTGAGAAAGTCTTTTTTTTTAAGATTTTATTTATTTATTTGAGTGAGAGAGAGCATGAGCAGGGAGAAAGGGCAGAGGGAGAGAGAGAAGCAGACTCCCCGTTGAGCAGGGAGCCTGATGTGGGGCTTGATCCCAGAATTCTGGGATCGTGACCCAAACTGAAGGCAGACGCTTAACTGACTGAGACACCCAGGCACCTCTGTCTGAGAAAGTCTTTCTTTCTCTTTTACATTTGGTAAGTAACTTTGTTGGGTATGGAATTCTAGGTTTCAAGGGTTTTCTTTCAACACATTAAATAATTTACTTCACTTTCTTCTTACTTGCATGTTTCTTAAGAGATATCTAGCGTAATTCTTACCATTGTTCCTCTATCGGGAAGGTGTTCTTTCCCCTCTGGCGTCTTTCATTATTTTCTCTCTGCCTTTGATTCTCTGCAGTTTGAATATGATATGCCTAAGTAGAGATTTTTTGCTTTTTACCTGCT